CACAGTGCCTCTGTCTCTGGACACTGTATCTCTGTCTCTGGACACAGTGACTCTCTCTCTGTCTCTGGACACAGTGTCTCTGTCTCTGGACACAGTGACTCTCTCTCTGTCTCTGGACACAGTGTCTCTGTCTCTCTGGACACAGTGTCTCTGTCTCTGGACACAGTGTCTCTGTCTCTCTGGACACAGTGCCTCTGTCTCTGGACACTGTATCTCTGTCTCTGGACACAGTGTGTCTGTCTCTCTGGACACAGTGTCTCTGTCTCTCTGGACACAGTGTCTCTGTCTCTCTGGACACAGTGTCTCTGTCTCTCTGGACACAGTGCCTCTGTCTCTGGACACTGTGTCTCTGTCTCTGGACACAGTGACTTTCTCTGTCTCTGGACACAGTGACTCTCTGTCTCTGGACAGTGTCTCTGCCTCTGGACACTGTATCTCTGTCTCTGGACACAGTGCCTCTGTCTCTGGACACAGTGCCTCTGTCTCTGGCCACTGTGTCTCTGCCTCTGGACACAGTGCCTCTGTCTCTGGCCACTGTGTCTCTGTCTCGGGACACAGTGCCTCTGTCTCTGGACACAGTGCCTCTGTCTCTGGACACAGTGCCTCTGTCTCTGGACACAGTGCCTCTGTCTCTGGACACAGTGCCTCTGTCTCTGGACACAGTGTCTCTGTCTCTGGACACAGTGCCTCTGTCTCTGACACAGTGCCTCTGTCTCTGGTCACTGTGCCTCTGTCTCTGGACACAGTGCCTCTGTCTCTGGCCACTGTGCCTCTGTCTCTGGACACAGTGCCTCTGTCTCTGGCCACTGTGTCTCTGTCTCTGGACACAGTGCCTCTGTCTCTGACACAGTGCCTCTGTCTCTGGACACAGTGCCTCTGTCTCTGGACACTGTGTCTATGTCTCTGGACACTGTGCCTTTGTCTCTGGACACAGTGCCTCTCTCTGTGGACACTGTGCCTCTCTCTGTGGACACAGTGACTCTCTCTGTGGACACAGTAACTCTCTGTGGACACAATGACTCTCTCTGTGGACAGAGTGACTCTCTCTGTGGACACAGTGACTCTCTCTGTGGACACTGCCTCTCTCTGTGGACACAGTAACTCTCTGTGTGGACACAGTGACTCTCTGTGTGGACACAGTGACTCTCTCTGTGGACACTGTGCCTCTCTCTGTGGACACAGTAACTCTCTGTGTGGACACAGTGACTCTCTCTGTGGACACAGTGACTCTGTCTCTGACACAGTGCCTCTGTCTCTGGTCACTGTGCCTCTGTCTCTGGACACAGTGCCTCTCTCTCTGGACACAGTGCCTCTGTCTCTGGACACTGTGTCTATGTCTCTGGACACTATGTCTATGTCTCTGGACACTGTGTCTCTGTCTCTGGACACTGTGTCTCTGTCTCTGGACACTGTGTCTCTGTCTCTGGACACAGTGACTCTCTCTATCTCTGGACACAGTGACTCTCTCTGTCTCTGGACACAGTGACTCTCTCTGTCTCTGGACACAGTGCCTCTCTCTGTCTCTGGACACTGTGCCTCTCTCTGTCTCTGGACACTGTGCCTCTGTCTCTGGACACTGTGCCTCTGTCTCTGGACACTGTGCTTCTCTCTGTGGACGCAGTGACTCTCTCTGTGGACGCAGTGACTCTCTCTGTGGACACTGTGCCTCTCACTGTGGACACTGTGCCTCTCTCTGTGGACACTGTGCCTCTCTCTGTGGACACTGTGCCTCTCTCTGTGGACACTGTGCCTCTCTCTGTGGACACAGTGACTCTCTCTGTGGACACTGTGCCTCTCTCTGTGGACACTGTGCCTCTCTCTGTGGACACTGTGCCTCTCTCTGTGGACACTGTGCCTCTCTCTGTGGACGCTGCCTCTCTCTGTGTACACAGTGCCTCTCTCTGTGTACACAGTGCCTCTCTCTGTGGACACTGTGACGCTCTCTGTGGACACAGTGCCTCTCTCTGTGGACACAGTGCCTCTCTCTGTGTGGACACAGTGCCTCTCTCTGTGTGGACACAGTGCCTCTGTCTCTGGACACAGTGTCTCTGTCTCTGGACACAGTGCCTCTGTCTCTGACACAGTGCCTCTGTCTCTGGTCACTGTGCCTCTGTCTCTGGTCACTGTGCCTCTGTCTCTGGACACAGTGCCTCTGTCTCTGGCCACTGTGCCTCTGTCTCTGGATACAGTGCCTCTGTCTCTGACACAATGCCTCTGTCTCTGGACACAGTGCCTCTGTCTCTGGACACTGTGTCTATGTCTCTGGACACTGTGTCTATGTCTCTGGACACTGTGTCTATGTCTCTGGACACTGTGTCTATGTCTCTGGACACTGTGCCTTTGTCTCTGGACACTGTGCCTTTGTCTCTGGACACAGTGCCTCTCTCTGTGGACACAGTGACTCTCTCTGTGGACACTGTGCCTCTCTCTGTGGACACTGTGCCTCTCTCTGTGGACACAGTGACTCTCTCTGTGGACACTGTGCCTCTCTCTGTGGACACTGTGCCTCTCTCTGTGGACACAGTGACTCTCTCTGTGGACACAGTGACTCTCTGTGTGGACACAGTGACTCTCTCTGTGGACACAGTGACTCTCTCTGTGGACACAGTGACTCTGTCTCTGGTCACTGTGACTCTCTCTGTCTCTGGACACAGTGCCTCTCTCTGTCTCTGGACACAGTGCCTCTCTCTGTCTCTGGACACAGTGCCTCTCTCTGTCTCTGGACACAGTGCCTCTCTCTGTCTCTGGACACAGTGCCTCTCTCTGTTTCTGGACACAGTGCCTCTCTCTGTCTCTGGACACAGTGCCTCTGTCTCTGGACACAGTGCCTCTGTCTCTGGACACAGTGCCTCTGTCTCTGGACACTGTGCCTCTGTCTCTGGACACTGTGCCTCTGTCTCTGGACACTGTGCCTCTCTCTGTGGACGCAGTGACTCTCTCTGTGGACACTGTGCCTCTCTCTGTGGACACTGTGCCTCTCTCTGTGGACACTGTGCCTCTCTCTGTGGACACTGTGCCTCTCTCTGTGGACACAGTGCCTCTCTCTGTGGAAACTGTGCCTCTCTCTGTGGACTCAGTGACTCTCTCTGTGGACACTGTGCCTCTCTCTGTGGACACTGTGACTCTCTCTGTGGACACTGTGCCTCTCTCTGTGGACACTGTGCCTCTCTCTGTGGACACAGTACCTCTCTCTGGACACAGTGCCTCTCTCTGTGGACACTGTGCCTCTCTCTGTGGACACTGTGCCTCTCTCTGTGGACACAGTGACTCTCTCTGTGGACACAGTGACTCTCTCTGTGGACACAGTGACTCTCTCTGTGGACACTGTGCCTCTCTCTGTGGACACTGTAACTCTCTGTGTGGACACAGTGACTCTCTCTGTGGACACAGTGACTCTCTCTGTGGACACAGTGACTCTGTCTCTGACACAGTGACTCTCTCTGTGGACACAGTGACTCTCTCTGTGGACACAGTGACTCTCTCTGTGGACACAGTGACTCTCTCTCTGTGGACACAGTGACTGTCTCTGACACAGTGACTCTCTCTCTGTGGACACAGTGACTCTGTCTCTGGACACAGTGACTCTCTGTCTCTGGACACAGTGCCTCTCTCTCTGTGGACACTGTGCCTCTCTCTGTGGACACAGTACCTCTCTCTGTGGACACAGTACCTCTCTGTGGACACAGTGACTCTCTCTGTGGACACAGTGACTCTGTCTCTGGTCACTGTGACTCTCTCTGTCTCTGGACACAGTGCCTCTCTCTGTCTCTGGACACAGTGCCTCTGTCTCTGGACACAGTGCCTCTGTCTCTGGACACTGTGCCTCTGTCTCTGGACACTGTGCCTCTGTCTCTGGACACTGTGCCTCTGTCTCTGGACACTGTGCCTCTCTCTGTGGACACAGTAACTCTCTCTGTGGACACAGTGACTCTCTCTGTGGACACAGTGACTCTCTCTGTGGACACAGTGACTCTGTCTCTGGTCACTGTGACTCTCTCTGTCTCTGGACACAGTGCCTCTCTCTGTCTCTGGACACAGTGCCTCTCTCTGTCTCTGGACACAGTGCCTCTCTCTGTCTCTGGACACAGTGCCTCTGTCTCTGGACACTGTGCCTCTGTCTCTGGACACTGTGCCTCTCTCTGTGGACGCAGTGACTCTCTCTGTGGACACAGTGACTCTGTGGACACTGTGCCTCTCTCTGTGGACACTGCCTCTCTCTGTGGACACAGTGCCTCTCTCTGTGGACTCAGTGACTCTCTCTGTGGACACAGTGACTCTCTCTGTGGACACAGTGACTCTCTTTGTGGACACGGTGACTCTCTCTGTGTACACTGTGCCTCTCTCTGTGGACACAGTACCTCTCTCTGTGGACTCAGTGACTCTCTCTGTGGACACAGTGACTCTCTCTGTGGACACAGTGCCTCTCTTTGTGGACACGGTGACTCTCTCTGTGTACACTGTGCCTCTCTCTGTGGACACAGTACCTCTCTCTGTGGACTCAGTGACTCTCTCTGTGGACACAGTGACTCTCTCTGTGGACACTGTGCCTCTCTTTGTGGACACGGTGACTCTCTCTGTGTACACAGTGACTCTCTCTGTGGACACTGTGCCTCTCTTTGTGGACACTGTGCCTCTCTCTGTGGACACAGTGACTCTGTGTCTGGACACAGTGCCTCTCTCTGTGGACACAGTGATTCTCTCTGTGGACACAGTGATTCTCTCTGTGGACACAGTGATTCTCTCTGTGGACACAGTGCCTCTCTGTGGACACTGTGCCTCTCTCTGTGGACACTGTGCCTCTCTCTGTGGACACAGTGACTCTCTGTCTCTGGACACAGTGACTCTGTCTCTGGACACAGTGCCTCTCTCTGTGGACACAGTGACTCTCTCTGTGGACACAGTGACTCTCTGTGGACACAGTGTCTCTGTCTCTGGACACAGTGTCTCTGTCTCTGACACAGTGCCTCTGTCCGGGTCACGTGAGGAGCCACGTCAGTGGGGAGGAGCGCGCGGTCACGTGGTGCTGAGGGAAGATGGCGGCCGCCGCGCACCAGAGCCTCAAACTGTGAGTTTCCCCCCGACACTGCCCCCTCCCCCCCTCCCCCCGACTGCCCGCACAGGGAGGCCTCGGCGGGCGGCAGCCTCGCCATCTCGCACTGACGCCGTGTCCCGCTACTCCCCCTTCCTCCTCCCTCTCTTTCTTCCTCTTCTCCCACCTTTCCCTCTCCCCCTCCACCCCTCCCTTCCCACTATCTCCTCCTCCCCCCCTTTTCTCCCTTCCCTTCCCGTACCTTTCTTCCCCACTTCTTCCTCTTCTCCCCTCCCTCCCTCTTTCCCTCCTTCCCTCCCCCCTCTTTCCCTCCTTCCCTCCCTCCCTCTTTCCCTCCTTCCCTCCCCCCCTCTTTCCCTCTTTCCCTCCCCCCTCTTTCCCTCCTTCCCTCTTTCCCTCCCCCCTCTTTCCCTCCCCCTCTTTCCCTCCCCCCTCTTTCCCTCCTTCCCTCCCTCCCTCTTCCCCTCCTTCCTTCCCTCCCTCCCTCTTCCCCTCCTTCCTTCCCTCCCTCCCTCTTCCCCTCCTTCCCTCCCCCCCTCTTTCCCTCTTTTCCCTCTTTCCCTCCCACCTCTTTCCCTCCTTCTCTCCCCCCCTCTTTCCCTCTTTTCCCTCTTTCCCTCCCCCCTCTTTCCCTCCTTCCCTCCCCCCCTCTTTCCCTCTTTTCCCTCTTTCCCTCCCCCCTCTTTCAATCCTTCCCTCCCCCCCTCTTTCCCTCCCCCCTCTTTCCCTCCTTCCCTCCCCCCTCTTTCCCTCTTTTCCCTCTTTCCCTCCCCCCTCTTTCCCTCCTTCCCTCCCCCCCTCTTTCCCTCTTTTCCCTCTTTCCCTCCCACCTCTTTCCCTCCTTCCCTCCCCCCCTCTTTTCCCTCTTTCCCTCCCCCCTCTTTCCCTCCTTCCCTCCCCCCTCTTTCCCTCTTTTCCCTCCTTCCCTCCCCCCTCTTTCCCTCACAGCCCCTGCCCGCCCCCCTCCCTCTTTTGCTCTCCCCCGACTCCGAGCTCAGGCCCTTCCCTTGGAGGGTGAGTAATGATGAGAGGGGTTTGCACAGCCCCCCCACAAGGTTTTGTTTTGGGTGAGGGTTTACTGATCGCTGAGGATGTACAGCCAGAGAGAGAGAGAGAGAGAGAGAGGAGAGAGAGAGAGGCACCAGGGATGCAGAGGGTATGAGTTCAGGATTGAAGATGGGGAATTTTGTTTCTGGAATGTTCTGTGTGGTCAGAGGTGCCAATGTTTCAGATGAGATGAGCTGCTCAGCAAAGGCGCTGTCTGCCTATAGCTGTAATCATCCCGGGTCTACATTCAGAACGGGAGGGGCAATTCTCGGGGTGTCCTGGCCAACAATCCCTCAAATAATATTGGTCATTTACTTCACACAATGCAGTACAAAATTACATTTTTATAGCGTCGCTAGGACGCTAATCATGTCGGTAGCTCGTCCCAAGGCGCTGGACAGTCAGGGATTTAGACCCGAGCTGGGAGTTGGAATCGAGGAAGGTGAGGGGGCAGGGAGGGTGGTCGAAGAAGAGGGTTTTGAGACGCACCTTGAAGGAGGGATGGGAGTGAAGTGGGCGAGGCAAAGGGAATGTGGGATGGATTTCATGAATGTTAATGGGATACTGATGTGTGCAAATTGGCTACCACATGTCTACAAAATGCACGTACTGCACTTTATAGTAAGGTCCTTTGAAATGCTTTGAGACATTCTTCTGACGTGAGAGACAATATCAAATGCAAAGAGTTTCTTTAGGGTTCAGGGGTATGTATGTAGATACCTCCTCTGGGGTAGAGCAGATAGTGTCTGCTGGGGAGGATGCTTGTGGCAATGGGAAAGTGTTGGAAGTTCATGGGCTCTGCGCTATATGTTGTTATTCTCAATCTGTATCTTGTGTTGTTTCTGCATACCTGTCTCTGAAAGGTTAATGAATAGCTTCCTGGGAGACCATCATTGTGTTAAGTCAAATCTGTCGATATTATGAAAATCTTAGATATATGATATTTTTGGTATATTTTTTGAAGACAACTGAATCACATTGGGTCACATTTAAAAACTTACCTGCCCAATACGAGTCAGTCTTGAAAGGTCAACATGTACTTCAAAAATGGTTTGAAGAATAGTGAGCTATTCAGCTATAACAGCTGGAGTGTTTTTGTGTCATGTCACAAAATGTGTCCTTCGCTTCCTTCCACAAGCTACAACTTATTTGAAATCCTGCCTTCCACATTGTTACCCCACCAAAACTTCACCCTGTCCTCGCCAGTTTCCACTTTCCCCCCGTCTCGGATTCCAAGATCCTCACCAACAAATATCTTTATGCCCTCACACCTAATCTCTGATCTTCAGCTTCACTCTCTGCTCATCCCCTCCACTTGGCAAACTTGGGCCTGCTGTATCTCACTGCCCCTCTGCTCCATTATTTATGGCCGAACTTTTCAACAGCTATCTCCCTCGACCCAACCCCCTTCATGATAATCAATTGTGACACAATTTGCAAATTCACTTACAAAATAAACATTTTTACAGAGTAAGACTTCAAAACAGGACTTCAAAATCAAATTTCCGGTGATGGAGTTTTGTCAGGTTGAATGAATATGTTAGGTCTCTAATTTTAACTACTTTGTTCTCAAAATAAGTAACTACATATAATAGTATTCTGCATTCTCTGGAAATGCATGCAGCTTTTTTTCACTCAGTTGGTAGCACTTTCCTCACTGAGTCAGAAGGTTGTAGGTTCAAGCCCCATGTTGGGATCTTGAACTTAGATTAGGTCCTCCTGATTGCCTTGCGCCAGCGCCTCAGCACCTCAGGCTCTGGCAGCATCAACCTCCATGGTTGCACACTACAACTCACCAAGTCAGTCAGGAACCTCGGTGTCTTGTTCGACCCTCAACTGTCTTTTCTTCCCCACATCCAAGCCATGACCCGCTCTGCCTTCCCTCACCTCTGTAACATCGCTCGACTCTGCCACTACCTCACCACTCAGGCCACTGAAACTCTTGTTTATGCCTTCATCACCTCCAGGCTCGACTACGCACATGCCCTGCTTGTCGGCCTTCCCAACTCCTCTCTCCACAGGCTGCAGGTAATCCAGAACTCTGCAGCCCGTGTCCTCTCCCGCACCAAACTCCGTGACCCCATCTCCCCTATTCTCGCCCGACTCCACTGGCTCCCTATCCTTCAGAGGATCCAGTTCAAGATCCTGGTCCTCATTTACAAAGCCCTCCAAGGCCTCGCCCCACCCTACCTCTGCGACCTCCTAACCCCCTACCAACCCACCCGCTCAGCCGGCTCTGGCCTGCTCCACGTCCCCCGACCCACCCGCCCCACCGTTGGCGGGAGAGCCTTCAGCCACTCTGCCCCCAACCTCTGGAATTCCTTCCCCCAGTCACTCCGCCTCACCCCCTCCTTAGCCTCCTTCAAGTCCTGCCTCAAAACACCTCTTCGACCATGTCATTGGCCACTTCCCCTCCCCTCTCCCCCTCCCGACCCCAGCTGAAATGCTGTACGCTGTCCAACACCTTGCGACGTCCTCCCAACGTGAAAGGCATTGTACAAATGTAATCTTGTTATTGTTGTAATACAATTCCTACTGCATATTTTTATCCTCAATTCACATTCAATTTAATTTGCCACTTGTCAATGTCCTAATCTATCCAGCTCCCTCTACATTCATTCAGCTTGTTGTTTGGATCTCCTCCTAGCTTTGTATGTTGAGCAAAGCTTGGTTTTATCTACACTTTCAGTTCACTTATGTACCAAGTAAATTACATCTGTCCCAGCAATGATCCTTAAGGTGACCTGCTAGTTAACTCCTTCTGTTCAGTGCCACATACAATTACCTGTGATTCAGCTAATTTTGAATCTAATGCAAAAGCTTCTCGCATCTCCTTATTCTGTGCCTTCTAAACGTGTAAGGTATCATTTTATTAAATTCAAAATATGTAATGTTCCCCTTGTGCACAAGCCAGTTATCTCTTCAAAGAATAACCATGAATTGCCATGTGCAGTTTTTCTTCCATAAAATCGTATTTAAAGAGAAGACAAAAAGAGTAGGGGAAAGAATGGAAAGTTTGGATATGTATTTGCCTCGAGTTGAGGTAGTAGCGACAGCATAGGCTTGATGTGAATGCTGTTGTCACCTCCTATGCTGCTGTTTCTGTGATCATTTGGGTCATATAGCTTCTTGTCGAGGAAAAAAAATCTTTTTCTCCGATTGTTCTCCCACTTCATCCAAAATAAGATCATATCATCCATAATAATTGTGTGTTGATTCCTCACGCAATTCTCTTACTTGGGAATAAAGTTTCTGATTTGATGGACCAAATTTACTTAGTAAACTTTACTGTGAAGTGGAGCGACTTTTTATTTGTGGGCGAACACGGCAGCCCATTTGCGCGCAGCAATGTCCCACAAACAGCCATTAACGGATTGACCAATTTTATTTGAGGAATTCTTGGCTAGGAAATTGGGAGAAACTCCCTTCTCTTTTCGAATAGTGCCACAGCATCTTTAATATTCACCTGAATGGGCAGATGGGGACCTCGGTTTAATGACTCATGTTCCAACAGTGCAACACATCCTGATGGTCCAAAACTCTGACAGTCCAGTGCCTTGGGATGTCCTCCCGATGTGAAAGACATTATATAAATGTAATTTTGTATTGTATATTCAGCAATGCGCTGGAGTGTGTAAACTCGGATTGTTGGGACAGGGTTGGGCCTTGGAAAGCACTGTGTTTGTTGCTACTACATCTGATTCCCCAGGTCTTTGTTCTCCATTCTGTGCTATGTGTACAATGCATAAATCAGCTTCAGGGTGGGAGACGTGGAACTTGACTGTTAATTTTTGCATTGGGATGATTTAATGTACTTTCTAAAGGGACATCTTATCAGTACAATTAATTAACCAGTGTTACCGACTGGATGTCCCAGTTTATGATTTTGCACATTGCTACAAAATGCAGCAATTTAATACACTGCCTTTTGTTGTCCAAAGTCCAGAGTTTTGGATGATCTGCAGCTT